CCGGGGCCCGTGGCCCGGTGGCGTGCGAGGGCTGGCGGGGGGCAGCGGCCGGCGGGCACCCCTGTTTCGAGCGCCAGGCCCGGTTCTCCCTCGGCCCCTCGCAGGGGGGGGGAGCCGGCAAGGCCGAGCGCTGGCCCTGCGTTCCCGGTTGAAGGGCTGAGTCGTTCTCCGCACCCCCCACCCACACCCGCCGCGAGGACCTCGCTCCTTTCTGCAGCAGTGACTCCCAACTTTGTGCCGTCTACAGGTTTCCCCAGCGCACCTCGTTTCCTCCGTGTGTTGGGTAAAATGCCCCCCAAGGCCAGCTCTGCCCTGACTCCCTCTCTTCCAGTAGGTCCGCTCCCAACATAGTACGCTGTGTTGCTTTGGTGGCTTTGTCACCGTGCCCTGCCTCATACTCTCCATCCCCACTGGCTTCCCCTGGTGACAGTATGCCACGTTCTTTTCTTACACTCCTCCCTGCATTAGTTTTCTCCTAGAAAAGCAGCTCTCTTTCCAAAGAAAGTGAATGAGCTAGGTTAGTATCATTTACCTTCGATACAGGCACGTTGCGGTTTATCTAATTTTTCATCCAGCGCCACGTCCTTGCACTCTGCACTGCGGAGAGAAGGCAATTTTAATTTCTTCCGTTTTGTATCTGGGTATTCGCTACTGCTCTTGTCTCTCTTACTTCCTCTTCACCTCACAGAAATGTTTACATCTTCTCTCAAGGACAGAAGCACTAAACCCGCAAGCTGCCTTAACTCCTGCGAAGCAGCGAGGCTGCTGCCAACCCGCTCCTCAGAGGCAAGGCTCACACCAGACGTCTCTGGAAAATTCTCACCGGCACAGCTCAAGACATTGCCGCTCCCAGCTGTCTCTCCCACCTCCGTGTCAGGCATGACTGAGAAGCTATTTCCAGCCCTTGCAGTTCACGTTTTCATCCATTAGCTTCTGAAGGTGAGGCTGAGATACTCTCTCAGGCTGTGAGCTGTGCCAGTTAGGTCTGGTCCCTTCCTACAGTCTCCCATCCCCGGTGTATGGATGAATATTGAGTTAGAGGCACCTTCACCCACTATGGCAAGCTCTGCTAGGGCTCGTTTGGCAGAACCTGCAGCTAGATAAATCGAATTGCACAGTAGAAATGATGCCAAGAAGATCACATTCTAATCACTCCAGGGATGTATAGCTGGAGTCCAAGCCCTTTCCTTTTCTGAGGGATTTTTTTGATCTTGGTGTTTTTATTAAAAGATTAACTTTTCCTTAGAATAATTACTGTTTATCAGTAACAGGATCTTTGCTTAGTCAAAAAAAAACCCATGCTGCTTTCTGCTCAAGAAGCTCAAGCAGGTGATAGCATATCAAAACATTTTCTGCAACAGATTAGCTGTATTTAACATCAGTAAGGGGTGCTCTTTAAAAAAAAAACAACAAACAAACCAACCCTGATAGTTAGGAAAACAAGTTAAGATTGAAAGGGCTACATTCCTAAGTTGATAATGAAATTAACGAAATTTAAATTTCTGAACTGAATCAAAAGGCTGTGGAGAATCCTCAGAAAAATCTGAAGGGCATTGACGCTCTGTGCATTTGACGGCGTAGGTGCTTATATTAAGGCATACTGCTTTTCCTAAGATCATAATTTTGTTGGCCAACACAATGTTAAATACTACAGTAAAAAGGATAGACTTTTAAGGAAAATTTGAGATAAACCTTTTAAAAGAGAATCTAATTAGCATGTTAGCAAATATGGTAAATATTCCAGTTATTTAGCAGTATAGAATAAAAGAGCTTATTTTCTGTTTTGATTGTTAAGAACATGCTTTCAGTTGTATCACGCGTGTACTCTAGGTTTCTTAAATCATCAGAACACCATTACATTTGCACAAATAATGTAGGCCTTTGCTCTGCATAATGTGATTCTCATTATGGATAATTATGTTTGATCAAGTGAAAGTTTGGGACTTTTCAGACCAAAGGTATTATTATGATTATGATGAAATCTATGTTAGAAATTATTTTCTAAGTCTGTTTTGAATCATAGCCCGTAATTTATAAGTAGATCAACTATACATCTGGGAAAGATGAACAAAAATCTGTAATTTCCTATCTTATTTTCTTGTAACCTTTTTTTTTTTTGAGGAAGTACGATTATTTTTTTAAAAGTTCTATCTTTTGAAAAGTGTCATGTACCCCAGTATTGGTCCCAAGGAACACATCAGGAGATTATCGAAACACAGTATGCTTTCATTACTGTTTCTTCCTTGGCCCTTCCTTGTCATGTAATATGAAAATAATTCTACGTAAATCAGTGCTCAAAAACATCTGTCACCGTGACAATTAAGGGAGCAGTGATGCTGCCAAAGTATGAAAATGAGCTGGGCAGCACCAGGACTATGTGACTGATTATGTCCTT